AGTACCTACTATCTGCTGTTTACTGTTTAGTACCTACTATCTGCTGTTTACTGTTTAGTACCTACTATCTGCTGTTTACTGTTTAGTACCTACTACCTGCTGTTTACTGTTTAGTACCTACTACCTGCTGTATACTGTTTAGTACCTACTATCTGCTGTATACTGTTTAGTACCTACTATCTGCTGTTTACTGTTTAGTACCTACTATCTGCTGTATACTGTGTAGTACCTACTATCTGCTGTTTACTGTTTAGTACCTACTATCTGCTGCATACTGTGTAGTACCTACTACCTGCTGTATACTGTGTAGTACCTACTACCTGCTGTATACTGTTTAGTACCTACTACCTGCTGTTTACTGTTCAGTACCTACTACCTGCTGTTTAGTACCTACTACCTGCTGTATGCTGTTTAGTACCTACTACCTGCTGCATACTGTTTAGTACCTACTACCTGCTGTTTACTGTTTAGTACCTACTACCTGCTGTTTACTGTTTAGTACCTACTACCTGCTGTTTAGTACCTACTATCTGCTGTATACTGTTTAGTACCTACTATCTGCTGTATACTGTTCAGTACCTACTATCTGCTGTTTACTGTTCAGTACCTACTACCTGCTGTTTAGTACCTACTACCTGCTGCATGCTGTTTAGTACCTACTACCTGCTGTATGCTGTTTAGTACCTACTACCTGCTGCATACTGTTTAGTACCTACTACCTGCTGTTTACTGTTTAGTACCTACTACCTGCTGTTTACTGTTTAGTACCTACTACCTGCTGTTTACTGTTTAGTACCTACTACCTGCTGTTTACTGTTTAGTACCTACTACCTGCTGTTTAGTACCTACTACCTGCTGCATACTGTTTAGTACCTACTACCTGCTGCATACTGTTTAGTACCTACTATCTGCTGTTTACTGTTTAGTACCTACTATCTGCTGTTTACTGTTTAGTACCTACTATCTGCTGCATACTGTTTAGTACCTACTATCTGCTGTTTACTGTTTAGTACCTACTATCTGCTGTTTACTGTTTAGTACCTACTACCTGCTGTTTACTGTTTAGTACCTACTACCTGCTGTATACTGTTTAGTACCTACTATCTGCTGTATACTGTTTAGTACCTACTATCTGCTGTTTACTGTTCAGTACCTACTATCTGCTGTATACTGTTTAGTACCTACTATCTGCTGTATGCTGTTTAGTACCTACTACCTGCTGTATACTGTTTAGTACCTACTACCTGCTGTATACTGTTTAGTACCTACTACCTGCTGTTTAGTACCTACTATCTGCTGTATGCTGTTTAGTACCTACTATCTGCTGTATGCTGTTTAGTACCTACTACCTGCTGTATGCTGTTTAGTACCTACTACCTGCTGTATGCTGTTAAGTACCTACTACCTGCTGTTTAGTACCTACTATCTGCTGTATACTGTTTAGTACCTACTACCTGCTGTTTACTGTTTAGTACCTACTACCTGCTGTTTACTGTTAAGTACCTACTACCTGCTGTTTAGTACCTACTACCTGCTGTATGCTGTTTAGTACCTACTACCTGCTGTTTACTGTTTAGTACCTACTACCTGCTGTTTACTGTTCAGTACCTACTACCTGCTGTTTAGTACCTACTATCTGCTGTATACTGTTTAGTACCTACTATCTGCTGTATACTGTTCAGTACCTACTATCTGCTGTTTACTGTTCAGTACCTACTACCTGCTGTTTAGTACCTACTATCTGCTGTATACTGTTTAGTACCTACTATCTGCTGTATACTGTTTAGTACCTACTATCTGCTGTTTACTGTTTAGTACCTACTACCTGCTGTTTAGTACCTACTATCTGCTGTATGCTGTTTAGTACCTACTACCTGCTGTATGCTGTTTAGTACCTACTACCTGCTGTATGCTGTTTAGTACCTACTACCTGCTGTATGCTGTTTAGTACCTACTACCTGCTGTATGCTGTTTAGTACCTACTACCTGCTGTATGCTGTTTAGTACCTACTATCTGCTGTATGCTGTTTAGTACCTACTACCTGCTGTTTAGTACCTACTATCTGCTGTATGCTGTTTAGTACCTACTACCTGCTGTATGCTGTTTAGTACCTACTATCTGCTGTATACTGTTTAGTACCTACTACCTGCTGTATACTGTTTAGTACCTACTACCTGCTGTATGCTGTTTAGTACCTACTACCTGCTGTATACTGTTAAGTACCTACTATCTGCTGTTTACTGTTCAGTACCTACTACCTGCTGTTTAGTACCTACTATCTGCTGTATGCTGTTTAGTACCTACTACCTGCTGTATGCTGTTCAGTACCTACTACCTGCTGTATACTGTTAAGTACCTACTATCTGCTGTTTACTGTTCAGTACCTACTACCTGCTGTTTAGTACCTACTATCTGCTGTATACTGTTTAGTACCTACTATCTGCTGTTTACTGTTTAGTACCTACTACCTGCTGTTTACTGTTTAGTACCTACTATCTGCTGTATGCTGTTTAGTACCTACTATCTGCTGTATACTGTTTAGTACCTACTATCTGCTGTTTACTGTTTAGTACCTACTACCTGCTGTTTACTGTTTAGTACCTACTACCTGCTGTATGCTGTTTAGTACCTACTACCTGCTGTATACTGTTAAGTACCTACTATCTGCTGTTTACTGTTCAGTACCTACTACCTGCTGTTTAGTACCTACTATCTGCTGTATGCTGTTTAGTACCTACTACCTGCTGTATGCTGTTTAGTACCTACTACCTGCTGTATGCTGTTCAGTACCTACTACCTGCTGTATACTGTTAAGTACCTACTATCTGCTGTTTACTGTTCAGTACCTACTACCTGCTGTTTAGTACCTACTATCTGCTGTATGCTGTTTAGTACCTACTACCTGCTGTATGCTGTTTAGTACCTACTACCTGCTGTATGCTGTTTAGTACCTACTACCTGCTGTATACTGTTAAGTACCTACTATCTGCTGTTTACTGTTCAGTACCTACTACCTGCTGTTTAGTACCTACTATCTGCTGTATGCTGTTTAGTACCTACTACCTGCTGTATGCTGTTTAGTACCTACTACCTGCTGTATGCTGTTCAGTACCTACTACCTGCTGTATACTGTTAAGTACCTACTATCTGCTGTTTACTGTTCAGTACCTACTACCTGCTGTTTAGTACCTACTATCTGCTGTATGCTGTTTAGTACCTACTACCTGCTGTATGCTGTTTAGTACCTACTACCTGCTGTATGCTGTTCAGTACCTACTACCTGCTGTATACTGTTAAGTACCTACTATCTGCTGTTTACTGTTCAGTACCTACTACCTGCTGTTTAGTACCTACTATCTGCTGTATACTGTTTAGTACCTACTATCTGCTGTTTACTGTTTAGTACCTACTACCTGCTGTTTACTGTTAAGTACCTACTATCTGCTGTTTACTGTTCAGTACCTACTACCTGCTGTTTAGTACCTACTATCTGCTGTATACTGTTTAGTACCTACTATCTGCTGTTTACTGTTTAGTACCTACTATCTGCTGTATACTGTTTAGTACCTACTATCTGCTGTTTACTGTTTAGTACCTACTATCTGCTGTTTACTGTTTAGTACCTACTACCTGCTGTATACTGTTTAGTACCTACTATCTGCTGTATACTGTTCAGTACCTACTACCTGCTGTATACTGTTTAGTACCTACTATCTGCTGTATACTGTTTAGTACCTACTACCTGCTGTATACTGTTTAGTACCTACTATCTGCTGTATACTGTTCAGTACCTACTACCTGCTGTATACTGTTTAGTACCTACTATCTGCTGTATACTGTTTAGTACCTACTATCTGCTGTATACTGTTCAGTACCTACTACCTGCTGTATACTGTTTAGTACCTACTATCTGCTGTTTACTGTTTAGTACCTACTATCTGCTGTATACTGTTCAGTACCTACTATCTGCTGTATACTGTTTAGTACCTACTATCTGCTGTTTACTGTTTAGTACCTACTGTTCAGTAGGCAGATATTTGTTCCTACTTCTTCTGATTCATTCAGTAAGGAAGTGATGTCATTTACGTTTCCCGAACCGGCCGCATCCACCAGTTTTTTTGTTTTTTTTGTTTATCTTTATTGAAGAAGAGTAATGCTCATATACAGTCAGGTAAACAAAAAACAATATCACAATGTAAATCAAGTAAAAGATTAAATAACTAAATAACATACAGTACATAAAGAACAAATGAAAGCCAGTAATATACAGAATATAAAATAAACCAATAAAGACACATTTAAATAGTGAAATCATTATTTAAATAATTAAATCATTATTTAAATAGTTAAATCATCATTTAAATAGTTAAATCATCATTTAAATAGTTAAATCATTATTTAAATAGAGGGAGAAAGGTTTTATAATAATGCAGATATTTGTTATATTTTCTGTTGTTAATTTAAAGTAGTGATTTCAGTCGGGACTTTAACTCTAGATTAAAAATTGATTCTATTAATCCACGCTCGTTTGTTTTGATTTGGAGGCGGACGTGACGTGAAGATTTACGTTTAATTTCACAAAGCATTGTTATATATAATATAACATAATATTATATATTATGTTATATTATATATTATATATTATGTTATATTATATTATGTTATATTATATATTATATTATGTTATATTATATTATGTTATATTATATATTAATATATATTATGTTATATTATATATTATATGTTATATTATATTATATATTATGTTATATTATATATTATATTATATAATATGTTATATTATATTATATATTATGTTATATTATATATTATGTTATATTATATAATATGTTATATTATATTATATAATATGTTATATTATATTATATATTATGTTATATTATATTATATTATATTATATATTATGTTATATTATATTATATTATATATTATGTTATGAGTCGAGTTGACTCCTCCTACTGGAACACTGATTTGATGAAGCCAGAGGAGCGTGACGGGTCATGTGGCGGTCTGAGGCTGCAGACGGGTCCAGCCCGGGTGGGTGGAAACATGTTTAGTTTAGAAGAGAGGAATGAATGAGTGGACGGTGATAACGGGTTCAGAGGAGGGCGAGCGCTGAATGTTTACAAACACAGGAAACGGTTCAGCTGATGGTCACAGCCTCTGAGCTGCGGCGGCGAGCCGTGTGACCGGAGATTCACATCAATCTGAGACGTGAGACTAAACGCCACTCTGTGGTCAGCACGCTGCATTGCCTAACTCTTTCACAATAAAAGCCTTAACTTCATATAAACAGGAGACTTTTATTTTGAAGGATTTTTCTGAAATCAAATGTGTGTGTCATCAAATCAGCTACATCCGCTCCTTTGACCACGAGCCACAGCACGCCACTTTTTATCATCGTGGTTAAAGACGAGCGATGACACCTTCAGCAGGTAGACCCTGACAGGTGTGTGTGTGTGTGTGTGTGTGTGTGTGTGTGTATCACCTGGTACTCTCTTCAGTCCGACCCTGCTGAAGTCACAGACCACGTCGGGCAGCAGGTATCTTCGGGGGTCTCCGATCTCGTAGACCAGCTGTTCAGCCACCGTGCCGAAGGAGACCAGGCCGCCGGTCTTTGGCGGTTTGGAGAGAACAAAGGAGCCGTCGCTGGAGCACTCGACCACGGGGAAACCCATGTTGTCCCTGAGAGACAAATCATTACATCGTGTCAGGTCAGTCGCCATGGTTACCATCTCTTCAAGAGACAGTGTGTGTTTTAAAGAGACCTGGATGACCTCTGACCTCTCTCTGTTCACAAACGCAGGTTACACTCTGTAACCATGGTTACAGAGTGTAACCATGGTTACCGCTGACAGACAGAGCATAGTCTAAATATGAAACAGAAACTGTGCTCACCAGTCAGGGACTTTGTACCAGTCGGTGAAGATCCCACCTGTACTCTGAGCCCCACACTCGATCAGGTGACCTGCAAGACTGACACACACACACACACACACACACACACACACACACACACACACACACACACAACACAGGTGTGAGTCTCTCTCTCTCTCTCTCTCTCTCTCTCTCTCTCTCTCTCTCTCTCTCTCACCTTCCAGCAGCCAGCAGGTCGTACTCGTCCCTCTTCCATCCAAACTGTGGACGATCACAGACCTGTTAGAAGTCTTCATGTGATTGGTCAAAAACAAACACACACATTTATACGTACAGCGTGCATGAGCGGCCCCAGAGCCACGGCGCTGTCCACACAACGACCTGTGACCACGATGTGAGCGCCCAGATCCAGGCAGCGCCGGATTGGTTCAGCACTGAGAGACACACACACACACACACACACACACACACACACACACACACACACACACACACACACACACACACACACACACACACACACACACACACACACACACACACACACACACACACACACACACACACACACACACACACACACACACACACACACACACACACACGTTACTATAGAGTGGGGAACACCTGGATGATGTCACCTGGAGGTAAAGTTTGTTGGTACCCGAGGTAAGCGTTCATGCTGTGGAGGGATTTAGGTAACGACTGTCTGCTGCTGTCATCCACCATCTTTACTTCAGAGAGACTGCTCCTCTGAGGAGGAAGAGGAGGAGGAGGCAGAGGAAGAAGAGGAGGAAGAAGAGGAAGAAGAGGAAGAAGAGGAGGAGAGGAAGAAGAGGAAGAGGAAGAAAAGGAGGAGGAAGAGGAGGAAGAAGAGGAGGGGAGGAAGAGGAAGAAGAGGAGGAAGGAGGGGAGGGGAGGAGGCAGAGGAAGAAGAGGAGGAGAGGAGGAAGAGGAGGGGAGGAGGGGAAGAGGAGGAAGAAGGAGGGGAGGAGGAAGAAGAGGAAGAGGAAGAAAAGGAGGAGGAAGAGGAAGAAGAGGAGGAAGAAGAGGAGGGGAGGAGGCAGAGAAAGAAGAGGAGGAGGAGGAGGAAGAGGAGGGAGGAGGAGGAGAGGAAGAAGAGGAAGAAGAGGAAGAAGAGAAGAAGAGGAAGAAGAGGAGGAGGAAGAGGAAGAAGAGGAAGAAGAGGAAGAAGAGGAGGGGAGGAGGAAGAAGAGGAAGAGGAGGGGAAGAGAGGAGTAAGAAGAGGAGGGAGGAGGAGTAAGAAGAGGAGAGGAGGAGGAAGAGAAGAAGAGGAGGAGGAGGAGGAGGAAAGAAGAGGAGGGAGGAGGAGGAGGAGAAGGGAGGAGGAAGAAGAGGAAGAAGAGGAG